CCAATATCATTAGGAGGATTTGAATTCGAATCAAGTTGTGCATGAAAAATAGGTAATTCACAAAACGATTTAGTAAGCGATTCGCTTGTAGATCTCTTAGATTTATGATGCCTTTCATCGGGACATTCATGATCACATTTCGTAAATTCTTGTTGTTCTTGAACAGAATAAGGATCTAAATTTTGAGATAAATAAATATATATGTATAAAGTAAAAAATTATTTGTTATTATCTATACCTTTAAAACCTGTTCGTTCCCAGAACAATTTGTGAGAAATGAAATCTTTTGGTTTACTAGGATTTGGTTGTACTTGTTCTACGATTTATTAAATAATTAATCATAAATGTATTCACGTTTGAAAATAAAAAGTTTAAAATTACCATCAATATGCTGGATATCTTGTCCTTGACAAATATCTGGCCTTTGACAATAACCAATATGACGGTGTCTTCCTAAACCTTTACAAAACTAATACAGGAATTTTTTAAAATTAAAGTCGCGAAATAATATAAATAAAAAATTATGAATTAACATACCAGGTTACAAAGAACAAAAGTTCCTCGATCACCAACTCTCAATTTATGTCTAATTGAAAATCTTTTAATAAAAGTATTATAATACTAATCACACTATATTACTTTTATACTATACCCTGCATAATCAAATTCATTATCTTCACTAGTGAATTCAGTTTGTGTCATATTTCCATGTGTTGTGCTATGTATTTGCGGGTGCCCATAGGGTAATGTACACTAATTTTAAAATGTATTTTTTTTAATATATATTTATAAACAAACCAAGGATATAAAAGTACTTTTTTTTTTATGTTACATACATAATATTCACAGAATTGACATTTTACATCACAAAAATGAAAACCATCTTCTTGTGTAAGGTTTTCATTTGTAAGATGCGTATGCTTTCCAGTATGTTTAAATTCATTTGGAGGAATCTTTTCGTTACATCTCAATTTTTCACTTAATTGAATATACTGTAATAATAATAAATTAACATCAAAAATAATAGATATATTTATCACATAATGTTCTATAATCTATACCTTAGTAAATATAATAGAAGTTTCTTCAATTAATCCTTGATAAACCTCTTCTTGTTTCTTGGGTTCAAGTTTTACTTTGCAAATACCAACATCTTCGCATAATTCTCGACATTGATGCTCATTTCTGTAATCATAAATAATTTAATGAATATTCAAAGAATGCAAATAACATCATTATATTGATACATACCCACAAAAATGATCCACTTGCGAATTAGAATCGGAGTGAAAATGGTCACTGCTTTGACATTTTCTCTGACAATCTGAAATTGGACATTGGATCGGACAAGTCTCATTTTCACATCGGTGCAAATCATGTAATTCTTCATATGGCATAATGCATTTATTAAGACAACGATAATCTCCTTTCTGAGTTGCCGTTGATAATGAACATGTTTTTCCACAATAATGACGTGATGATTGACACATATGGTCGTCAACATGTCCGATTTCTTTTGAGCAAACTTGTTGGCAGTTACGCTTATCGATAAGACTACATGATTCACCACATAAATGATTCGCTTCATTGCAAGCATGTTTACCTTCATGGCCAGCTATATAACTACAAGTAGGAATTGATGTTTCGTTGTTGTGAACTTCAATGAAGTGGCAAAGAGATTTACAGTTATGATCCGTTAAACAATCATGATTCTCTTCGTGGTCACGATTTTTAACACATTTTAGACCACATTGATGACATCTTAATCCACACAACGTCCATAAAATTATAAGTTTGCTTATTTTTTGCTCCATTGCATACTTGCCGTTAACAATGTCGCTGTTTTGTTTATTTTGCTGAGAAAATTTTGCAGTATTTTGAAGATACCAATCTTTAACACGTAAAATTCGACGTTCAATAATATATTTAATGAAACTATTTAAGTCGGCGAACCATTTGGCATCATCAGATGAGTCTTTTCGCGGCTGTACATTTTCTTCAAAATAAGCTCTTAAATATTCAGAAAGTTTGACAAAAGATTCGAATTCATCATATAATAGGAGACCAGAATCCGGTAATATCCGATAGGAATCTTTGAAGCCATGTAAAATATCAGATAAACTTGCTGTTGGGTCATCAATCGGTTTTCCAGTATCGTGATTCTAATGAAATTAATGTATAAAATAAATATATTTTATAAGCTTCATAAAAATTTACAAGTTAAATTTATTACCATAAGTAGTTCAATTGCAGAGTCATTTTGCTCCAAACCATAAGAGATTACAGTTATTAGAATTCTTATTAATGCAACAACACGGATTTGTATGAGGTTTTCATCTAACGATCTCCAATCACAAATCTAATGTTACAAATATAAAAATAAGGTAAGCTTCTTTCTAGATAAAGATAAAATTTTCATTACAAGATACATTTATAATGATATTCGAACCTTTAATTTAGCCATAATTACTTTTGTATTTTGTAGGAAAGTTCGTGCATTGTCATAATTTGTTTCCAGCTTATCTAGTCTATTATTCAATTTTGATAATGTCTTAAACCATGCAGAATCATTAAACATTGGCCAAGGAATAATATCCAATCCACCTTGATACATTCTTGAGATGAAATTATCTTCACCTTCCTTAATACATTAAAATTATATTTTTTGTTTAAAAATAAATTGAATTTAACTGTAACAAAAACAAAAGCAATTTAATAAATATACCTCTGTAACTAATTGAGAAAATTTTAACTGAAATTCTTGAAGAATGCCTTCTCTATCGGCTTTAGGAACATCTTTTATGATAACACAAAGTTTTGCCTAAATAATTACAAAAATTAATAAAACTAAAACCCATAGTATATAAATTGTATTATACTTGTACCTGAAATAATTTTTGATCTGATTGAAAAAACATTGCACCGTCTTGAAATCTTTTAAACATTGAAGAAATATCTCTATTTACTGTAAATTGATTCTGTTTTAAATTGAAGGATTTACATGAGTCAAATTTATAAAGAACGAATAAACAATGATGCGATGTTACCTTAAAGAGTATGAGATTGGATATGATAGTATTAAAAAGTGCTAAAAATAAGTCTAAATAAAACAAAATTAATATCAAGTGTATATAAAATGACAGAATAAGTTACATTGCAAATTTACCTTCTTGAGGACTTCTCTCAAGAGAATTTAAGCCTTCAAAATCAAGTGCAACATATATATATTTCTTAGTAATAACTATTTGTTTTTAAAAGAAAAAAAAGTTAACTTTTTATACAAATATAAAAGGTTAATTTAATTTACCTAGTGACATCCATACACCCTCAGTGCAACGCTAAATGAAAATTGATTGAATAATTTCTTCCTAAATTAATTAATAGAAATAAAATCATTAAATTTTACCATTGCAGAGCCATCAAAGGAAGTTCCAACAAGATGATTTAGCATGAAAGATTTTCCGCATGATTGTTCCCCCATACTAGAAACAACCTTTACTTTTTTATCACTGAAATGTTTGAATATTCCTTCGTACCATCCAAAAGAAATGTTTTCTGCAATATTATTCACATGTCCATAACCATCAAATTCAGCATTTGAAGATAAACCATCCCTGAGAGGTTGAAACAAGTTATTTCTTGCTACAGCAATTTGTATAGGAATTAAACAACAAAGTTGAATAATCCAGTCTCCTAATTTATACTCCTTTTGAAATTTTACATTTTTAATATCGAGTTTCTCTAAAGTAATGACTGATGTAGAAAATTTCTCTAGAACTGTTATGGTTTCTTTTGTATAACTTTTTAAATCTTTAAAGTTTTCATTAATGTATTCCTTAAATTTCTCTTCGTATTCATCTATTATATCATTATTTTCGATATCAAGTATTATCTTCAAATTAAGAGGACGAATTTTCTCAGGATCAACGCATCTGTTAACTGGGTATTTCTCAAATGTTAATTTATAGGCATCGATGAGACCATTTAATTTTGATTTCGGCTCAATGCGGAATTCCATCCAATTATCAAATCTCATAGTTTTGATATTATTAGCAATTTTTAACCTTGTATCAGAAATAACAGAAATTACACAAAATTTTTCTCCCATTATCTCTATACAATCTCTACTTTGAACGACTTTTTTAAAGCGAGTATTCTCTCCTTCGATAATAGTATCAATTAACCTCACACGTCCAAGTGATTGTATTTGCATTCGTTTTTGGAAACGATATTGAGTTTTGTTGAGGGTTATTTTAACTATTAAGGAGTTAAAACATCCATTTTGTAAATCAAGTGACATCAAGTGAGTTTGTAGTTTATTAATACAAGTAAATTGCAAGAATTCCAAAGATTGAAGAGTTTGTGGTAAGTCAACAACTATAAAGAAACGAAATCATTAATTTATCAATAAAAATTGTTCGTTTTTATATAAATATATATAAATAATAATACCTTTATTAACAGAACCGCCAAAATTTGTGCAAAAATAAACATAAGCACGGCATATTTCTTGGTTGGCATCGACAGAATCCTTTTGTTGTACTTCTTTATCAAAATTTGCATCATCAGTAACATGCTTAATCTCATTATCATCCTTGAATTCTGTAAAGTTATCAGGGTTATTATACTCTAACCTTTCTTTTACAAACGCTACAATACATGATCCATCGGGAGAACTTAAAACATTTGCAATATTTGATGGAAAATTACAAATCGCTGGTCGAAATTGCTTATTTATAAGATTGAAAATACGTGCCCGACCACCTTGCTCAACAAAGCAGAGTTCCTCGGTATCTTTAATAAAAATTAAATGCTGAAGATTTGGGATCATATTATCATACCATTGCAGTAACTGGATATTTGAATCTCGTACATATATATTTGTTTGTCCATCATTAAAAGAAAATACATTTAACTATTTTAAAAATAATTTTTATTAGTCTTTATGTTTTACTTAAAGATAAAAATAAAAATAAAACCCCAAGGATCATTTAACATACCAAAACTTTTTTTGTATCATAAATAGCGATTAGCTCTTTTGGCTCATTAACTGCAATAATTATATTTTCATCTATATTCAATGTTTTAAAATATTTAATTGGATATGATTTGAAGTTATTTGCTAGGCGTTGAGCGGTGTCAAAGAATATTTCAATTTTTTGGTTTTTTTTATTGAAAAGCACAAGAAGAAATTTGCGATTATCAAATTGAGATATTTTTCTGAGATTTATAAATGTTATCAGACAAGACAAAAAAATAATTTAAGAAATTCAAAAAAAATATTTAAATTATTACCTGAAATCATAAATTGCAGGATCAATTTGAAAAGTAACGCCATATTGACAATAATTATTATAAGAAAGCAAAATTGGATTTGGAATAAATAACACTTCATTATGGAGACGAAAGGTATTTGATTGATCTAATGAAGTCTCACAAATAGTTATTTGAAGTTGCTTTGATTTACTTATTTCAAGCTCATATTCGAATAAATAAGAATTTTCAAACCGATACCAATCACTAATGAATGAATTATATACTAAAGTAAAAGAAAAAATTGTTAAAAATCTTATCATTAATGCTTGATAAATCATTAATACTTTATAAAGATTTATAGCTTATAACCTGTTACATTCAGTAAATACATCCGCAAAGTTCTTAAGAATATTTTTTCAAACAAAAAATAAAAAATTAGTTTGATACCGAATAATAATTAATATTTAGTTCACTTACCCATTATTTTGATATTTTTCTTCTATTACATCGCAAATCCTTTTAAATTCACGAGATTCAATGTTTTGTTTTTCTTGCGCAAATTCTTTCTTTAACTGAAGTGATAATTGTTGAATGCGAGAACCTTTTGGCAGGATTTTTTTAATTTCATTAGAAAAGGTAACTTTCCATTTTTTGTATTCTTCAAAGAAAATACTTATTAATTCTTTTTTGTCTACTCCAAGAAACGATGAATTAACAAGATCTAGTATAAATGTTTCGTCCGATATATTTTTAAAACTCATAAGGTCTTGTATAGATTTAATATTTAACAAATTTTTGGAACTAATTAGGTCTTGTAAAATATTTTTATCTTTCAGATTTTTGGTCACATATTTCTTCTTAGCCAAAATTTCTGAATTAATGAGTTCATGTACAAAATCTATAAATAATATATTTTTAAACTTTTTTTTAAAAATGTTTAGCACAAAATATGATTTTTTATCAGTTTGTTTGAATAAATCATAAAAAACATGTCTTGCAGATTCTTCATTCATTTCCAATATATCAAAAATAATTGTTGAAGTTAAAATATATCGACATTTCAATTTATTCCAATTTTTGGAATCGATTTTAATTAATTTATCAATTTGACCTTCTTTATCGGGATATTTTGAACGAATCCTTTCTAAATCTGAATTAATAAAACATCAACTGATTAGGTAAAATATAAATAAATGCGCTTTAATGTGATAAATATACTTAACCTTTATCGTTTATATCAATAATATTTTCTTTATACTCTTCAAAAGAACTGTAAAAAATTAAATGATATGTTATAAATTAATGATATATTTTTTTTTTTAAAAAAAAAAAATAAACAGATTTACCTATAGCAATCACAAATTTTTTTCGATGCTAACTTTGAAATTATTTCACTATCAATTTCTATAGTATCAATTTCATGATTCATCTTTTTCTCATTTAGCGATTTTGCAGCTTGTATATGATTTCTAAACGGGCTCAAAAGTACATCCTCCATTTTTAATCCATGTATAATAAAGAGTTCTAATGATTTCATGGACATTCTTTCACGATCAATATATAATCGTCGTCCTTGTAATTTGGACTGAAATTCTTGTGACAATTTAGATTCAGAAAATATATCTGTGAACATTTGCATCTCCGAGGTCTCCTTTACTAATCTCCGAGTAAGAAACGATTGATTTGTAACAGATTCAATAACTAAATCAAAATAATCAGATTTAAGGATATTTAAATGACAATTAAATTAGACTTTAAAAAAAATTATTTACCAATAGGATGCAAAGGTTCATCACCTTCCCGAGTATTTTTTATTTCGGCTTTTATTTGATTGGATAAATCCACCTTAATTTTTAATTATTTTCCAAAAAGTCTTTAATACATTACGATTATAAATATAAATAGCATAAATAAGCTTATATAAAAACCTTAAAGCCGGTATGGATTTTAAAGTCCTCCTTTTCTTCCTGACTTTTCTTGACTTCAAATTCATTATACTCTTTTTCATCGTCTGAATCATCATCAGTATCGTATAAACTCCAATCGAAACTTTCTAAATCATCTTTACTCATAAGACAAAGTTGATGTTCAGTAACCTTTGTCAAATATCTATATATTTTATAAAAATTTTAATTAGATTAAAATTTAAAGTTAGAAATTAACCGGCTGAATAAATAGATAATACCTATGTAGGTTAGTCATATTCTTTTTACATTGTGAAGGAGCATTTTCCTCATAACATCCTACTTCAGGCCAATGAATAACTAAACCGAAATCTGGATTCAAAACCAGTAAGTAAATACCAGGACGTAAAAAAGGTTTATTTGAGTCATCGATAAAAGGCCGTGAGGGTGTAAGCAAGTCATATCTAAATAAAAGAACAATTAAAATCTGATTTTGACTATTGGAATAATTTTTTCATTTTAGAATTTTACATACATTTCTTGATCAACAATCTTTAAATTCAATAAGAGTTTTGCAATTAAATGGCGATTTCCGTAACATCCAATAAGACGAACAGAAATTAAGTTCAATTCTGTATAATTGATTTCAGAAATAGACTTAAAACTTGATGGAACCATATCGTTGCATAGTTTGCTTAGAAAATCTTTGGAGATTATTGTTTTATCAACTAAAAAATTATATAATACTTTTGAGTAATTTTTCAATAATTTATACAAATTTCAAATTTGCAAATAATG